CCAATTGATGCGTTTCTCTCACATCGATGTTTCTCTCTGTCTTTCCCTCTCTCTTCCACTCTCTAAAAATCAGTGAAAAAATATCCTCAAGTGAGGATTTAAAATTTTTTAAAATGAAAATGTTATAACTCATTTAAAAAATTTTATTAACTAGTGGGAGGCAGAATTTAAGCTCAGGTCTATCTCCCAAGCTACAGAGTTGGGCAATATTCTTCTGGGTCCCAAAGTAACATGTCGCCATTTTCTCCAACTTCACAATAGGACCTGGCTAACCTGTATTTACTATAGAATATAAAGTGTTTTCTTTTTTAAAATATCTTTTATTGAGTTTTTACAGAGAGGAAAGGAGAGAGATAGAGAGTTAGAAACATCGATGAGAGAGAAACATCGACCAGCTGCCTCCTGCACACTCCCCACCGGGAATGTGCCCGCAACCAAGGTACATGCTCTTGACCGGAATCGAACCTGGGACCTCGCAGTCCGCAGGCCGATGCTTTATCCACTGAGCCAAACCGGTTTCGGCAAGTGTTTTCTTTTTTTTAAAAAAGTGTGATGATTCCAGTACCTACCCCACAAATTGAGATTATTAAGTATTCTTTGTTTTAGGTCTACATAGTATCCATTGACACAGGATGAAGTTGTTACGTGGAACTTCACTAAGAACTGAAAAAAGTTAAAATAGGAGTCAGTACAAACATTTCCAATCGGTTTCCTGCCATTTGGATTATAGTCCCTGTCCTTTCCCACACCATTGGGCACTTGCCCACTCTTTTTCCCTCTAGAGGCCGAAATTTTGGGCAGAAGCAACAAGTCAGGGAAACAGGTTAGGTGGCAAATGGAGCTGATACCTTTAGGAAAGGCTGAATTTTTTATTTTATTTTTTTGTATGGCAAAGGTGGAAATGTATTGAAGAACACGTAGAGACTCCCACGTGGGGAAGGGGAAGGAATCTCACAGCACAGACTCCCACGTGGGGAGGGGCAAAGAGCCCCCTGAATGGTTCTTTCTAGGACTCCTCCACCCTCTGTCTTTACCATCTAGACAACTGCCAGATACCATTCATAATTCACCATAGCAAGTGCTCCTTTCATATCCATCATAACTGTCAAAGCTCTAATTGAGGCTGTCATGACGACCAATTTTATTTAATACAGATTGAGCTTTTGTGCTCCCTTTTATATATATTTTTTAATTGATTTTTTTACAAAGGGAGATGGATAGAGAGTTAGAAACATCGATGAGAGAGAGACATCGATCAGCTGCCTCCTGCACACCCCCTACTGGGGATGTACCCGCAACAAAGGTACATGCTCTTGACCGGAATCGAACCTGGGACCTTTTAGTCCGCAGGCTGATGATGCTCTGTCCACTGAGCCAAACTGGTTGGGGCTCCTTTTTTCTTTTCTTTTTTAACGTCATTAGGATAGGCCTTTATTTTCATGTTTTTGTATAATGAATATTAAATTTAATTGGTTTCTTTGTTTCTATTCTTGTGTGTTTGTTTTTTTAATCCTCACCCGAAAATATTTTTCCATTTATTTTTTTAGAGAGAGTGGAAGGGAGAGGGAGAGACAGAGAGAAACACTGATGTGAGACAGACAAATCGTTTGGTTGCCTCCTGCATACCCCCGACCAGGGCCAGGAGCCTGCAACCGAGGAACATGCCCTTGACCGGAATTGAACCTGGGACCCTTCAGTCTGCAGATCAACGCTCTATCCACTGAGTCAAACCAGCTAGGGCCGTGCCCCATTTCTTAACTGATTTCAAACAAAATATGTCTCTGATACCTGATTCACTTCCTACTACCAAAGCCTTTATACTGAGTGGCTTCAGTGTCCATGTGGGGTAGACAACTCATCCAAACCTAGCTTTCCACTTCCTTTCTCCTCCAGTACCTTCATTCCACGCCAGCCACTTCTCAGGTTCACACGGTGTGCCTTATTGTGTGGAATTGCACGACCTCTAAAAGGTACAGACATCCTCTCCGACCACAACCTCGATGCTCTTCAGGTCTCCCCCGCACCCCACTTACGTTATCGAACCTTAAGAGTGTCGTTCCCTCCTCACTGTGCTCTATTAAACATCTTCATTTTCTACCCAGTTAGACTCCACCTTTGAGTCTTCGTTTTTCCTTCTCCACTTTTGACCTTTGATCACTTTTAACTACTTCATCAACAACCCAGAACCCCCTCGCACCCACCTGGATGAATTCAATTGTCCACCTTATCTTTAACTTCCTGGCTGCTGGGTCCAAAGTGTTGAAAATGATAGTGTACACAGTGAGGCCGTGATGATTTTATGGTCTCCAAGTTCAACTAGATCATTGGTGCAGCCAGGGGAGGGCTCAGTAGTCAGCTCTTGGCCATTCCCCTGAGTATTTAAGTCTGTTATACTCTCCTAACACCTCCCCTCCTGTAGCTGATGAAAGAAGCTCCAGCTCCCACCAAACCTACAAACACACCTACCTGAGCAGCGAGGCTGTCCATTTATGAAGAAAAGGTGCCTGGACTATGGCTTCCTGTAGAAGGGCCATTCTCTCCGTTGTGCTCAGAACCCCACCCTCTGCCTCTGTTTTATCCTCCCTCTCTTGGCTTCATTCCTATCAACGTTGATAGGATATCCCTATCCTATGAACTCCCATCCAGTTTTTTTGTGGTTTTTGTTGTGTTTTTTCAAAAAGTCAAGGCCATGTGCTCCTCCAGATACCAGTTAACTCCTTCACAGTGAAGTCAAATTACTCCCTGCCCCACCGGTGTGGCTCAGTGGTTGAGCCTCCACCCATGAACCAGGAGGTCAGTCAGGGCACATGCTCGGGCTCCATCCCCACTAGGGGGCGTGCTAGAGGCAGCCAGTTGATGATTCTCATCATTGATGATTCTCCCTTCCTCTCTCTGAAATCAATAAAAACATACTAAAATTTTTTTAAAGTATTCCCTACCCCAGTTAGCCGTCGCTCCTTACACTGTGGGAGCCCGAGCTCCTGGCACAGGTGGGTGCTTCCCATCTCCGGGTTTCCTGGGCCACATCCCAGGACAAGAGGGACCCGCGCAGGCTCTGGAGCAGTGGTTCTCAACCTTCCTAATCCTGCGACCCTTTAATATAGTTCCTCATGTTGTGGTGACCCCCAATTTCATTGTTACACATGGAACATAATGAAAGCATAGTGATTAATCACAAAAACAATATGTAATTATATATGTCTTTGCCGATGGTCGTAGGCGTCTCCTGTGAAAGGGTCGTTTGACCCCCAAAGGGGTCGCTACCCACAGGTTGAGAACCGCTGCTCTGGAGGCTCCCGAAGTCTTGCTCCCGCCGACCGACAGGTGTCGCCCTCGCGCCAGAGCTGAGGGCGAAGCTCCC